TGGGAGTACCTTTGGTGGCTGGGAAACTCTCAGTTAATGCTTGTAGACCACTCATTGATAGAATTACAAGTAGAGTGCAGGGCTGGAAAGCAAAAGCTCTTAATTATGCTGGCAGAGTTGAATTAGTTGGATTTGTTTTGTACAACATGTCACAGTACTGGATGAGTGTCTTTATGCTGCGTAAAACAGTTATTCGAGAAGTTGAAAAATTTGTAGTAATTTCCTCTAGTCTGTTGGTCCTGGGCTGAAGCTTAAAGCGAAAATGGCATGGAAGTATCTGTCTGTTCCGAAGAAGGAAGGTTAGCTTGGACTAAGGGACCTTTCTACTTGGAACTATGCTTGTGTGTGTAGGCAGATTTGGGCGATTATGTTGAAGCATGGCTCTCTGTGGGTAGCTTGGATTCAAGCTTACAAGCTAAAAGGGAGGGATTTTGGGACTGTGAACGTGGATGGATCCTGGAATTGGAAGAAGTTGTTGCGGATTCGAGGTAAGATCCCTAACCTGTTTAGCTTAAATAATGGCGTGCTTCATTGGAATAATGCTGTTATGCCAAGGTATTCCATTAAGAAGGTTTGGGAGGTTATAAGGCCAAAGCAAAGGGTAGTTAGCTGGTATAACCTACTCTGGACAGGGACCTCGATCCTAAGAAATAGATTCCTCGTATGGCTTATCATCCGCAATAAGATACAAACGAAAGATAAGATGAAAAAATGGGGGTTGGCTGGATCGGATTAGTGTTACTTATGTGATCAACCTGATGAGACAAGAGATCACCTTTTCTCGACCTGTATGTTTTATGCTTCTACTCATCAGCAGCTGTTTGGTCAGTTTAGCTCTTTCCTTCCACGGTCCTGGGAAGAAAACCTTCACTGGGCAACCAGGAAGTTTGGGACTAAATCGCCTTGTGGAATGGTGGGTCGACTGATTTGACAGTCACTTGTAAGCCATATATGGAGGGAACGTTGTCGACGAGCTTTTGGAGAGAACAACAAGACTATTGAGTCTCTGGGTTCTCAAGTAAAAAGTGAGGTAAAGGTGATGATGCAGGACCCCCTACCACTGGAGCGCTACTGGTCTGCTGATCCTTAGGTTTTGTGTCTCTTACCCGAGATTTTGGCTGTTTGGTTTTGTTTAGTTGCTTTCTGCCTCTGGTTTCCTTCTTGAGAGTTTCTTTGTATTTACTCAGGTAGTTTGAATAGCTCCTCCATACTGTACCCAGTTTTCATGCCTAATTGGTAAGGATGTTGCCAACAACGCTTTTTTTATGAAATACCAATATACAAATTCATAAAAAAAAGATCGAGACAGTTGTAAAAAAAATCGAGACAATTCATTTTGTTTCCTACAAATATACCGAACGACTAGTATATAGATGGTCTTACAATTGTACTGCTTCACCTGTTGGTCCCGTCCGGTTCTTGTAACATAGATTATCATATATAATCATCTTTTTATTCATCACCAAACTGCTTCATTGGATTAAACTTAATCCGTATTTTGAACTTGTAGTTACTTAATTGATTCAAGGTACTGAATTTCACTGACGCAGGGTACATCTAATTACACTACACCAACACAAGATTAGACGAATACTCACGAAACATAAAACGAAAAAAAATCACGAAGAGCAACACGTAAAGTAGAGGCAATAACTGCCCTAATGCTTACCACAAATCAACAGCGTAACACACCATCTTTATTATTATTATTATTATTTTAACAAAAAAACTCACTCCAATGATCAGTTCCAATCGCAGACATGAACTCGATCCCCACTGTATGCGTCAACGCCGTCAACTCCACCGTCAGACACGTCGAAGTGCTTAACGTTGACCTGCCCGAACGCGACGAAGGAAAGACGGCGGTCTCGAAACGCCGCCTTGCACCAGAAAAGCGTGTCGAGTGTCATGCCGAAAGTGAACTCGTATGTGGCGTTGGCCTCGACCGCGCGACCGCGGAGATCGTCGTCTCCGGACTTGCAGTGCAGTATCAGCGCCATCCCGCTGCTCAGCTTGTTGGTAACGCCTATCGTCGTATCAAACAATCCCGTCGTAGCGGCGGACCCAAAGGGGTTGGGCTCTGTTACGGGACACATGTAAGTTTTGAATAAAACGATAATATATAATAGAACCCTATATATATGCATGTTGGAAAGGATTGAAACTCACCGATTTTAAGGTGACGTGGCTAATGTACCAGAACTCACTTATTTTTAATTGATTGTCATAAATTAATTTTATTACACTTATATCCCAACTCGAAATTAATTTTACTATAGAAAAAAAAGACACTACCTAATTTCGACTTCTCGCTCCGCCACTTATGGTGGTCGTCTTCTGTTGTCGTCGCTGCCTGCAGAACAGCCGTCGTCGTCAGAGTCAGCATCATCGCAATGAGGATCGTCGTTACATGCATCTGCTGCTTCCTCATCATGACCATCGTTAGTATTTTTTTTTTTTTTTTGGAGTTATTGAGATCAAACGGTACCCTACGGATCGGAGATAATAGAATGAGGGGTGGTGGTGTGGTGATTGGCGGGTGGATGACGAGCCTATAAGTAGTAGTGACTAGTGAGATGGGACTTGGGGAGGGTGTGTTAATGAAAGGTGGGATGAGCGGCTCTTCCACTTTTGACCTTGGAGATACGTACGGCTCTGTGTAGTTTTGTTTGGCTAATATTTGTTTGTGTGGATCGGAAAATTCTGTAGCGCCGGCATGTTCCGATGCCGGACGGTCCTAATTAATTGGTTGGAGTAGTAGGGAAAAACACAGGTGTTTCTCGAAGGAACAATATTTTAGTTGTAAATACTTAAATGTAATTGACGGATTGGAATAGTCGACACCAGAAGACAACAATAGTTGAAAAAATAAAGAAGATACAGATCTACATGGTTCGTTAATACAATATGTGGTCCAATAATGCAAGTTGTTAATAGATGTCCACATATGAATTTTAATTATTTTTTATACTGCTTTTTCAAATCAAAACCAACTCATAAAAGCTCTGTTATATTTTAGACAAGTATCAAACTGAAGGCATAAACAAAAGGGAAGCCAAGTTAGATAGTGAATGGTGAACAAAGAGTTGGTAAGCCATATGCATGGTTGTCACGCCGGCCAGCGTGCCACCGGTTGAATCTGGTTCAACTGATACCGGTTATAAAACCGGCGTGACACTATCGGCATGACCGGCATGATCGATATACGAATTTTTAAGTAAGATGACCTTATTATAGTGAATTTAATTGATAAAATAATCTTATTATTTATTTTATGAGTATAAAAGTTAAATATTGATATTATTTGTTGTATTCAAGTATAAATGTTTAAGTATTGACATTGAATGCCATGTTTAAATACGAGTATTTATAATTTTATTTGTAATATTGACCGGCATGAACCGGCAGAAAGCGGTATGTGCCATCGATCGAACCATTCCACTTGCTAAACCGACACACTAGAATAAACCGGTTTGACAACCTTGGCCATGTGTATTCATATGCATACTCAAATTTGGGCTAAATTACATGTTTGGTCACTCAAATCATACAAATCTTTCACATTTACCACTCAAATTACTTTTCTTTCTTATTCGCCACTAACTTTACGAATTGTTTCACCGTTGGTCACCAGCTGTTACACTCCGTTAAATTTGTCCTATATGGCAGTCAACTATAAAGTTTGACCGTTAACTAAATGACGTAGAAATTAAAAAAAAATTAATTTTGCACCTCATCATCTCACTTACTTTATCTATATGATTTATCATATTAATCATTTAATAAAAATTAATTAAATTTCAAAAATTAATAATCCAATTTCCCCGTTGCAAAGAGGAAGAGAAGATAGGAGTGTGGATCTTTGCGGGAAGGCGCTAAAGAATCTCTGCCCGGTTCCTTCGACTCTCTTGTCGCTGCCGCTGCTTTAGCTGGAATCGCAATGCTAGGACTCGTCATCCTCTGTCTACAAAAACCTATATCAAATCAAGACAAAAAGTTAGAATCAAATAAAATGATCAACCCAGGAAATAAAAAAACTTACCAAGACCCAAAACTAGAGCGTCTCCTCCAATTGGTGGTAAGAATGAAAATCTTTAAATAACAACAAAATAAAAACAACACGGCATACCCGCAACCATAATCATACCTAGACCTGCATTTTTTCGTCGATTTAGGGTGGCCCGAATCTGATTTCGGTGGTCGGCGACTGCTGACAGTCATGATGATCATCGGGCCTGGGATCCGCTCCCTCGTTCGAGTCTTGTCTCTTCTTGTCGCTTCGACGAGCCTGGGATCTGCTACCTGGTTCGAGGGTATGGTATCAGCTCCCACTAATTATACTTCTTGGAATCTCTAGTTGATTCTCCAAACAAGGCGAGAGGAAGAGGAGAGGTATGATGAGAAGACGAGATCGAGAAAATTAGAGAGGCTGGGCCGCCAGTGATCTCTAGATCGAATCGGCTCGCCTCCGACTCTTCGTCTTCTCAAGGGGGAAATTGGATTATTAATTTTTGTAATTTAATTAATTTGTATTAAATTATTAATATAATAAATCATATAGATAAAGTAAGTGAGATGATGAGGTGGAAAATTAAATTTTTATTTTTTTAATATCCACGTCATTTAGTTAACGGTCAAACTTTATAGTTGACTGCCACGTAGGACAAATTTAACGAAGTGTAACGGCCGGTGACCAACGGTGAAACAATTCGTAAAGTTAGTGACGAATAAGAAAGAAAAGTAATTCGGGTGGCAAACGTGAAAAATCTGTATGATTTGAGTGACCAAACATGTAATTTAGCCCTCTTGTATCTATTGTGGGTTAATGCCCATTGCACCCTGTTCAATGCCAAAATGCACAAACAAGCTCTTTCTTCAGCAAAATAACTTCCTCCAACGGGCAAGGGCCATAATTTCATTTCCTGATATAGCCCACTTCGAGTACTGGGCTGGAAAAGAGCTCTCTGTAATTTTCATATCTTTTGACAGATAGTTTGATCGAGAAACTGATTGCAAGCTCTTCTCTGTGACCAATCAAATCGCCCTCTCCTTCCTGTACCGAATCACCAGCTCTACACTGTACACTGTACACTCTACAGAGTACAGACCACAGCTTACTGGTTCGTACAACTGATGGGTGATAAGATTATGCTGGAACCCAGATAGCCTTCTCCGTTCTTTTCTTCCCATGCTCTGTTTTTACCACAACTACAAGTAAACCTCCAAAAGAAGAAGAAGAAGAAAACAAGCAACTATGGCGAACCAGACCCCTTCCTTCATCAAGGTTTTGGTTGGATGTTTCTCCAAGAAGCTGGTAATGTTCTTTCTTCCACTTCTCACCATTCTGCCGTTGATCTTCTTCTCACTTTTGTGTTTGCTTTACCTTCTTCACTCACCACCCTGTGATGTCTCTGTTTTCACGACAGAGGATTCCAGATTCATTCGTCTACGAATTCGGCGACGATTTGTACGGGAAATTAGTTCTCAAACCCAACATTGGGAATCCTGCCATTGTTTCTGTGGAATGGGGAAGCAGGGGATGCTTCTTCGAAACCGGATGGCCGTCGTTCGTCAAGGATCATCAACTACAAGAAGGCGACTATCTGGTTTTCAACTTCATTGGGAGCAAAATCGTGGATGTCGTCATTTACAACCCAACTGGCTGCGTCAAGAGATCAGCTGAAGTCCAAACCAGCGAGCATCGTCCAAGCTCTGAAAGGAATCATGAAACAGAGCCATCCCTTGAAAACGCTAGAAACGGTAGACCTCTGCTCTCTCTCTCTCTCTGTTCGTCTCTTCTTTGTTTCTCCAGTCGGCCATCTTCTCCAACCGAGAAATCTTGCTTTAAGTATCTCTATGTCTTCTGGTATTGGTTCAGGAAAGAGAAACGAGGGGAGGAGAGAGGTTGAAACTAGGAGGTCTTGCCGAAGAAGCTCAGGAAGGAATCTCGAAACAGAGCAACTCTCCAAAACCAGAGAAGGTATTGACTCAAGTTTCTAGCATGCTGTCTCTGTTTTCCCCCCTTCCACTTTACTTCCCTTTATTACTTCCCTTTATTAGGCCAGATTTTTTTTACTCTTATCTTATGGTCTTGATTAAGGAATGGGCAAAGGTGCAAATTTGAAACCACGAGAAGCTCCAATTAAAACAGAGTCGGAAGAAGGGTATTCTTCTGGCAACGATTCTCGAGGTTTAGCTGCTTGCTTCCAAGTGGGTTACAAGAAGTACATGACATATTATGTGGTATTGTACAATTTCATCCCACTCTCTAAACATTCAAATTCGGATACAAAAAATCCAATGGTGCTGTTCTATTTGTCTCGAACTAATCCAAACCTTGTCTTCTCTGTTGCTTTTTTGTGTTGTTACCATGGAAAGTGCATTCCATGGACATTTTCCGAAACCACGAGTCTGGCAATGAAGAAAACCGCACAACTTCAAGACCCAAGTGGGAAAGTGTGGCCAGTTACTGTAATTTCAGGAAGGCAGGGCCCTTATCAACGGTTCACTGGTGGTTGGCCTGCCTTTGCTGGTGCTAATGGCTTGGCTCTTGGGGACAGAATCGAGTTCAATTACAAGCCGGAATTGGGTTTGATCCAGGTGAAGATTCACAAGCCAAAGAACAATACTTGCAACGATTCTGAAGGTGGGAAGCGGCCATGGAAGAGAGCGGGTTCTGTAATTCCTGAAAGGAGCAAGCTTTGCCCAAGTTATGGAAGAAATCGCCAAACAGAGAGATCCCCCAGACCAAGAAAATGTATAAAAACTCTGTTTCTTCTCACACTCTGCCCTCTCAGAGAGATTCCCCGTAACATTCTCTAATTACTAATGTCTCCCAAGGTTTGAAGGGGAAACGAGGAGCTCCAATGAAGGCAGAGTCCAGCAAACTGAGAAAAGGCCATTCTTCTGTCAACAACGTTCCTCCAGGATTGGCAGATTCCTTCGAAATGGTTTACAAGAAGCACAATGAACGTTGTAATTTTGTGGTATAGTTCAATTCCTTCCCAGTCAATCATCTTTTTCTGTTTGTTTTACTCATCAAAACCTCGCCCTTAATTCGCTGTTTTTTGGCCCATGGGGAAGTGCATGCCGGTGAGATTTTCTGAAACCACGAAGCTGTCACTGAAGGAAACTGCACAACTTCAGGACTCAAGTGGGAAAGTGTGGGCAGTTCGTGTAATCTCAGGAGGGAAGGGCCTTCAGAAACGATTCAGTGGTGGCTGGCAGGCCTTGGCGGCTGCTAATGGCGTGGCCATTGGAGACAGAATCGAGTTCAGTTACAGGCCTAAATCGGGTTTGGTCCAGGTGAAGATTCATAGACAGATGAACAATGCTTGCAAGGATTCTGAAGTCGGAAAGCGGCCACGAAAAGAAACTTCTTGCTATATATGACTGATGTTTGGAACTTCTGGTATAGCCACCGGAGTTGTCTCGGAAACGATGGCTTGTAATGATTTTATGAGTAGGGTATGGATGACATGAAATTAAACTTGATGTGAGAAACTCTGATGCTACTTTGATCGTGCATAGTGCGTTTCCTCTGCTTATGATGATATCAAAATTGGGGATTCTCTGGGCTCCCATTACGTTGTGTTGGGGGGTTCTTGAGCTCCTCTCTTTTGGGTTTTCTGAATGTAATGGGGAAATGTTGGACTTTGCTACGATTTCCTTAATCTTGTGACTGTGCAGGATGAACCAATCCCATCTTGGGCTATGGTTCAAAGCCAGGAAGTGAAGTTCAAACCAACATGCCTTACCAAAGCTCAGAAAGGAAAGCAGTTCTCCAAAACCAGAAAAAGGCGGTAGGCCTCTGTTTCCCAAAACAGAGCAATCTTGCTCGACTCTTATCAATTTTTATACTCTACTTGCTAATCCTAAATCTGCTCTGGCTAGCTTAGAGCATCCACATCAATGCAATTGCAAAAGCAATTGTAATTTTTGCTTTTTATGCCAACTCAAGAATTACGCAATCCAACTCATTTCAATTTAATTATACCTACATCAATGCAATTCATTTGCAATTGCAATAAAAAAAATAACACATTTAAAATATATTATATGATATTTAAATGACATTAAAAAAAACAGAAAAAAGTAGCCAAACCCCACTAGTCACCCACGTTGAATTGCATATGAGCATTTTGCAAGCATTTTATACATCAGTAAAATTCATTTTGCAATTGGAAGAGCACATCCACGTCATGATGAAAGTGGAAAATGGTAGCCGATGGAGATACTCTTAGTATGAAAACAGTTGGATGTCCTAGATGGCGAAACTAGGTAAAAATGTAGCCGATCGAGATACTCTTAGTATGAAAACAGTTGAATGTCCTAGATGGCGAAACTAGGTAAAAATGAAGAAATCTTCCCTAGAAGAAAGTTAGCTCATTATGTGTTTAGTTAGTACAAGGTCGGATGGGAAACGATTTGTTCTCGGCTTGAGTTCCTGTGCTTAAGCCCAAAAACTTAAGTATATGCTTAAATCAATTCTATTGGTTGTTAGTAGATTAGGTGGTTAATAAGTAGTTATTAGTTAATAAGTGGTTAAGGGTATTGAAGTAAATTGTGTACATTATTTATTTAAAATTAAACCTAATTTCATAATTAAAGGAGAACTAAACGTCTACCCTAAAACACATATACCGCCGGTTAGGTTTTTATATCTGCGACTTCTTCCTCCCATCACTCTCCCGTCTTCGACCAGGCGGCTTCCGGCCATTCCTCTTCCACCGCGTCGCGCCGCTTCGTTTCCCTTCCTTCCATAATCGTCAAGAAAGCCTCGACGGAGCTGAAAAAACCTTGGGCACTGTCTTTGGCGTTTGTGATACCCGCCGGGAAGATGGCAGTTTTTTTTAACTGAGGTTTGTTGTTTTTCATCGTCTCCGCCTTTCATTCATCGGTCAACATCGTCTTCTTACTGTCGCTGCAAAGAACGGTCGTCGCCCGGCGCCGGCGTTTATGTACATTATTCTTCTTTTTTTGGGTTTGAGGTTATTTTTGTTTGAAAGTTTAGCACGCCGTTTTAGCAAAGTAGTGGTATTTAGCAATGATTTCACGTTGATTCACCAATGATGTATATAATTGTATTATAAACGTATGGGAGATGTTGGATTAACAATGATTGCACTTATCGTTATTAATGTTTTTGGTCGTAATTATCAAACTAGTAATAGTTTCAACGTCATTATCCTTTTTTATGGTCAAATTAGTAAGTCGTAGGCGTATATTATTAACAATTAGGGCGACAATTCTAAATTTGTATGATCAAATTAGTAACACTTATGGCGGTATTATTAATAAAACTATGTTAATTGTCAAAGCTTTTGCATGCTAATATCAATTAAAAACTTACTGAAAGCGTTAATAATGATGGGGCATATCAATAAAAATTAATTTCATAAACGCTAAAAACGACATTGTGAATCGATGATAATTGATTGCAAAATTTTAATAATGTCATTCAAAGTCATTGTAAAAGACGATGATTGGCTAGTTCGAACATGACTTGAAAAAGTGAATCGTTAATAAATATGTTGCAAATCAATGATAATGTTATTCAAACCGTTAATAATGATGCGACATAACTTAAGTAATATCTTCATAAACTTGATGACAAAATATAAATCGTTAACAAGTGATTTTAAATCGTTAATAAGTGATTTTAAATCGTTAATAAGTGATTTTAAATCGTTAATAATGCAATCGTAAAACATTGATAAGTATATTGAATTTGTTAATAATGATTGGGTATGTCAATAATAAGTATATTGATTGTATTTTCAACGCAACACAACTTAGTTATTAACGATTTAGAGTGTCGTACTCAACGTTTTGATATTTTTTTAATATCGATGATTTTAAATTAAACAAACCCATTTGTTTATATTGCATTACTATTGTAATAATAACATATATGTGTTCGAATTTTGTCTTTGTAGGTTAACGACATGTCGGAAACTAAGAATACGTTACATAAGGTGTTATGCAACCTACCAAAGAAGAAGCAACCAGAAGCATACGATTTATCAATAATATTAATGATTATGTACTTATTTGAAACAAACGTATTTATTAATGGTTTTGGATCAATTTTAGTGTTGTTTAACCATTATCAATTAATAATAATATCAACCTGGATGCAAGATATTATCAATGATATGCAAAATTATTATTATTAATCTGAAGGTAATTATCAACAACAACTATAATCATTATTAACGTTTTCAACTTTTTTATCGCAATTTTATGGAGGAATTATCAATGTTATGCATCATCATTATCAAATTGGATGGAAGAAATTTTCTATTATGTGCAAATGTGTTATTAGAGAGAATCAGAGAATCATTATTAGCATTTTGACATTTGCATGTCCGCTTTATTAAAATATTCAGAAAGCATAATATTGGTTTTTTATTGTTATCAACGATTATGAAGAAATTATTAATGTTATGCAAGAATTGTTAGTAAAAATATTGTAAATCAATGATAATGTTATTTGATTCATTAATAATTATGTGGTATAATTTTAATAATTCGTAAATGTTGATGATGAAAATATAAATCGGTAAAAATTTATCCAAAATTTTTAATAATATAATCTTAATGCATTAATGATTATATTGAAATAGTTAATAAGGATGGAATATATCAATAATAATTCATGTCATAAACATTAATAAAATCATTGAAAATTTTAATAACGCTAATGGAAGCCTCTACAGAGAGGGTGTGAGCTTTTCTTATTTGGAATTTCCATTTTTAAAACTTAAATATTAATTTCGAATTTCAGTTTTAAATTTGGAATTTCATTAAATATAATTACATAGTTCCGGATTTTCTATTAATCCCGAGTTTTAGGAGAGAGAATAATTATTTTAATTATTTATTATTTTCTCATAATATCCCATTTACCCTTAACAACCTATTAACTACTAACCTTCCATAAACTAACTAAAATCCTATAAGCCAATAGGAATGCTTTAAGCATATGCTTAAACTTTTAGGCTTAAGCACCGGATCTGACCCGTTTTGTTCTCGTGGATAAAAGGAAGAGGATGAACGAAAATAGTAATAATAGAATGGGTAATTGAGTTTAGCTAGTTAAAAGATCGATTCTAACTAGTTGAAAAATAATTAAAATATAAGAAATATGAATAGATACTATAGAAAATTAAGAGAGAATGGACTAACAACGAGCGGAACGGGGCGGGTCGCAAATAGATACCCATGCATCGTTCTACGCTACTGCGAATATGATAATACTAGCCACATCGTGAGTCAGGTCGGATAATACCCGCATGACGAGTTCAAATTGCTATCATCACTAGCAGGTGATAGTGGCGGTTCAGGGGTACCCAGTGGGTCAGTCCAGACCGTCACGGAAGAGTATAAATAACCCAGAATGATTGGGCTGAGAGATGCAATCAATGGGCTCAACCGAGGCCCAACTCAGTTATAGTAGCGGCCCAAATCTTGATCTCAAAGGGATTTGATATCGTTTTGTTCTTTCCTTCTCCTATTTGTGCTCTCCTTCGTATTGATGTGGAACTAAAATCCTAGATTACTAGTGTGGGCCCGGCCAGTTGGCCGGAGGAAGGTGAGTTATGAAATTTTAGAATTAATGGAATGTATAGCTTATTGTTGTATAATTTTTTTTTGGAAACACGTGATAAAATAGTGAATTTTAGCAGGAAAGATGTATGGATGATGCAACGAATCAAAAATCAGCCTTATGAACCAAGTTCGAGTACCTCTTACCTTGTGAAACAATATTATTTCTGGTAATATGATGAGGTGGAGTAAGTTTGATAGAAATCGAATTACAGAAAACCGAATAAAAAATTGCCTATAAAATACACTATAATTTAATCATTAGGATATCAAATAATTACATAATATATATTTGAAATTATAAAAATTGGACTAATCTAGTTGGTCGAGGTCGAACTATTTAATAACTTAAAAATACATTATATTTTAGTCACTAAGATATAAAATAATAGCATAATATATGTTATGCTAGAGAAAATAGCACGTTTTAGGATGGCAAACCCATGATGTTCATTTGTTTTACTTGATGACCAAATCCCGTATGGGTCAAGCCCATTCAACTCTTTTATTCTATGGTTAGCGGTTAGCCCATTAGAATCCATGCATTAGTTTATTGTTAAATTTTTTTCTTTTTAGCAATAAAAAAGGACTATTGTTTTTGTCATTTCATATATATATCTTACCAACACCAAGAAATAAAATGGTTTAAAGAAAATCCTATATCCCCTAAAAAAAGCTACTCAGTGCTTACCGACTCATGGTTCACTTCTCTCTCTCGATCTCAATTATATCGCCGTCGGTAGCCACTTCTCCCCATCCCTGTTTTCCTGCCGTTAATTTTAGCTCTACAAACCTTTTCCCTACATGTCATCCTCCCCATGAACCTCAATTTCAACTCCCCCTCTCGGTCTCTGTTTTTCATTTCTTAATCTTCCCTTCTCTTATCACTTGTTTAAACTCCTCTTTGTATATCTTCGACGATAGTTTAGCGAAGAATAAGAGAAAGCCACCAATCTTCAATAATACTGTATTGTTACAGTGAAGCGATATTAAGGATTTCGTTGTCACTTATCTGTTAGAGCTTGCGAATGATGGAAAAAGGGGTGGTTGATTACGATTTGATTGGATGACTCAATCTTTCAATTTTACTTGCATGCAATTTACCACCCTTCTTCATTTGCATGACTGGATCATTTTAGTATGCTTGGATTTCTTTTCATAGGGAAGGGATTAGGCGATTAGCATACGGAAAAAGGATTGGGGAAATTATTTTGTAAACAATTATGAAGCTCACTTTCTCTAATCATTTCATTTATTCCCGGCGTGGGTGGAGTCCAGATACAGCATCGGAACAAT